CTGAGGTTCTTCTCACTCCTCATTATTTAACTTAAAGTGCTAATTCTGACCCTAAATGCCCATGATCAGTTGCTTTTCAAGGCCAAAGTAACACTGTGTACACATGTTCCTTAAACCACATTAAGTTAAGTGATCTCCACTAAACCTGCTTAGTCTGGATTCTGAAAGGTACTAGTTTTCTACAGTATCTATAGTACATCAAAAATGGTTCTACATTCCTGTCTGACTGCATACACAAGAAAACTTGGAAGTTCCCTTCAATGTGAGAGGAAAAGAACATGACAGTAGGGTCTATATGTACTGCTGTGGTGTTGGCCTACCCAGATAACATTAATGAAGAAGAAATCAACAGATTTTTGATTGGTTTGATTGGTTGATTTTGGTTTTGAGACAGATGTTGACGGTAACATTATTAATGCTCAAGAAAACAGTCTGCAAACCATGTTACTGATAAATTCAAACCGAAAGTAAAGGAGGTAACTCATTAAGTTTAGTGAACCATCTGAAAAAACAGGATGTCTTTCATGTGAAGAAGCACAAGCAGGTCTTGTTTAATTCACTCTGACGATTACTTAACAACTAGCATTCCAAAATGCATGTTACTATTATTTTTGTTTGAAATTATTGGCATACGAGGTTTGATTATGGCTTTACAGTTTTCATAAATCTCATAAACTTCAGAAATTTTTATGAATTACCTTAAAGCTTTAAACTGTAGTGTTCATTTTGTAGGTATCGGCATTGTATCAGTATTAATTACTAAAAATTCCGTATCGTAAAATTCCATTGTAACTATCGCATAAATTAGATTCTCTCAATCTCTTTAACCTTTTTTGCTGCACTATTGCTTCTGTATGGATGACCCATCACTACCTGTGCCTCACACGCTGAAGAGAAACATGTTTCTGACTAAATTTATAGGCTCATATTTATCTAGGTTGGTCTCTCACTGGGTATAGCCTGCTTTAGGGGACCATTGAGGCTGCACTGGTAGCCTCTTCAGCTCCATTAGATCAGCTCTAGTAGTGCTAATCAGCACTTCATGTCATTGTGCTGCACTGGGAGGAGAATAAAAGCAGGAGACCAGGCAGAGCGTTGCATGTTTGGATGACCCTGCTGTTAGTAGTGGATGGGAAAGATTTAGAACACATCAGCGATAGTACAAATGCTGTTTTTCTGAACAGTGGCTACGTACATATTTCTTGATACGTCAGTATAATTGTAGACAGCCAGGTGATGGATGGTGAGAAGGGTGTATGGGTTTGTTCAGTCAGTTTCTACTGTATTTATAGTGCACTTGTTTTTTGGCTAGTTATCAGACTTTGATGTCCTGTACAGCTTAAAATAGCTCCACTAAAACTGTTTAAAGTGATGGTGGGTTTTGTTTAGTTTCCTTGAATTACTTTGTACTAGGAAACCTTCCAGACTTGCTTAGCCAAGAGAACAGGTGTTATGGTATCCTTTATAGAACTCTTCATTAAAAAATCTGGCAACAGCATAAGCAGTAGGAAATATGATAGCCAGCTGTGTCTTCTGCACAGCTGGGTTTGAAATTACAGCCCCTGTAAAGTGACTAGGTCTCCTGGACGATTCATACAAGGTTGATTAAAGCAGCTCTGTGGACAGTTAAGGCTGAACCAGAGCATATCGCTAGTAGTCTGATGCCTTGAGTTGCAATAATCCACATGCTAAAATCACATGGGCATCACTGAAACTATTGATTTTTAATTGTAATTCACTTTCATAGTTGTTGATGCAGTGTTTTCAGCGTTCGCTGAAGTGAACCGAATCACAGGCATCCAATCATGTTATTGGGGATTCGATTATGATCATATTGTCTGATCTAGGTGTATAATCTGTTAATGTAATCCAATGTTAAAGTAGTCTGTCTGTTGTGGCTAAGTAGATGATGGGCTTTTGAGGATGTAATTTCTTTTTAGCTGCTATTCAGGCAGATTGATTTCCTTTAAAGGAATGTATGCAGAAAAATTACTTGAGCAAGTCTCTGCATGTGGTATTCAGAATGCTGACCACAAGACTGCTGTTAAACAGATATCTGTTGGGTGTAGGACTGCTCTTACCACAGCAGTGACACTGGCGTGGTAGTATGCTAGTGTGTAGTGATGTGGGCACAGGCTCAGTGGTGTTACTGGAGATTTTACACACATCAGTTGTGCTGCTAGGTTGAGGGTTGTTCATTGCTCAAAAATAATCAGCCAGAAACTGACTATTAGTGAATGGCTTGAGGATGACTAACAAAAACTGCAACAGATGGGCTGCAGTGTCAAACTGTATACCAGCAATGTATCCCTAGAAGACCAATCCGCCTTCTGTAGATCTGCTTTGCTGCAGAATGTTGTCCCAGCAACATCTAACATGCTGGACACCCCCACGTAGTGCTTTCCCACTCAAAGAGGTTCTCAAGTCCATCGCTGGGCTGCCTGTGCCTTTCACAGGGAGGTGCTTTTGACAAATTACATTTGTCAGAGCAGCAGGGCTTTGCCAATAGACAGTTGGAGGATGGCAAAAAGCAAAAATGACAGTGCTGAAGTTTACAAAAGTGCTAGGTCATGCTTCAGACACAAAGACAGCACTCTGAGAATTGTTTAGCATTTCATGTAGAATCACAGAAATTTAGGGCACAAAAGTCTTACAGCTCCTTCCAAATCATTAGTAGTAATAATAGTAATAGCAATAGTAATAATAGTTTATGATCGAATGGTTTAAGAATGATTTGTGGTCTGTCAATACCTTGAAATGAAGTGCAAAATCATGACCCAAGTGTATTAATATTTATTGCTATTACTTCACCTGTACTCTGTAATGTACTGTTACAGCTGGATGCAGCATGCAAAGCCACAAAAAATAATAATAATAAATTCCACATAATACCAACATTCCACATAAGGCCTGAAGCTGCCGTTTATTGGCCCTTTTGCCCCAGAACATTGAGAGCCCTTACGCACACATTGCAGTCTTTGGAGTAGAGTTGCTTCAGCCTGCATTACATAATTCCTTTAACATTTCTGTCCACACATGTCCCCTCCAGCCAACCTCAGCGTAACGTGCTGTGCCATGTTCTTGACGTCGGGTCTCGGGATCTTTTTTAGCGGGGCTCTTTTGATGCTCGCTTTGACCCGAGTGCTCACCCCCCCCCGCTCCTAAAAACTACGCTATAACTTTAATCCGTGGAAGTCTAAAGTTATTACTGTTTTTTTGCTCTGTTGTTCAGATGTATTTACGCAGTTACATAATTAATTACATAGTTCCATAATTTACATTCGATTTACATTCTGTGATTGTATCAATTTGCATCTGAGTTTATCATTGATATGAGGAGGTAGAGGAGTGTCACTTTTTTCCGGTGTTTCTCAGTGATTTCAGTCACTATCAGTAAAAATTCCAGTGCCTTTTCGCTTACATAAAATTAGCAGTAGAAATTAGGTATTTTAATCCTGTGTGAGTGGACATGTCAGTCGAAATGCAATCATATTCTGTGAAGAAGGAGTTTCTTAAGTATGGAGGCACTTGAAGAAGCATTTACTTGTGTTTCTGTGGCTAAATTGAAGATGTACTCTCCTGCCTAACCTGTACATCTCAGCACATTAAAACATTAAAATGACAGAAAAACATCGATTTTATGCAGTGATGTTGACTGTTGGCTGTGAATTGCAAAACCAATGACAATGCTAATGATGCAGAGTCTTAAGTGAAAGCAGTGCTAATGACCAACTGTCTTAAGTGAAAGCAAGAGAGTCAATTAGGATAAATTACGACTGCATTAAATGTTTGACGTTTATATTCTTTTCTGGAGTAAAGGCCGTGCGTAAATTGAGTTGCCACTCCCATCTCTGTCATTTATACAAAGATTTTTTATTCCATGGAAATTGGTCATATACATTACAGACGTCCTGTGGTAAAATTACTTTACCTCATCTCCCATGGAAGACTAATCCCATCCGAACAGAGTGAAAATAGAAGAGTGAAATAGAGGAGTGAAAAGAATTTCTAATGGTTTTTCATCATTGGTGCTGAATTTTACTGGATGGATGGACTGGATGGCTTAATGTCTGGGAAACCAACATTTAGGGTTAGACACTTTAAACTCTTAAGGACCTTCATATAGTCCCACACTCTTACATATTACATTTATTCTAGTTACCAAAAAACAGTAACAGTTTGTAACAGTAACTCAAAAATACGGCTTACGAAAAGAATTATGAGCCTGGGGCTGAGGTCGATAATCAGTTATGCCTGTTACCAAGCAACTGGCGATATGTACACAGCTGAAACGTTAAAAATGTAAGATAGTTAGCTAGACACTTACTGTTACCGATATAAAAACAGAGAACAGAAGTTAGGATACCATTGCAGGTTGTTCTAAATTTAGAACAGTATTTAGGAAATTTTGTCTAGTTAGGATGTGTCTGTAAGAATGTTTTCTTATTTGGGGTTAATGGATAAGATTATGAACTGTTATTCTGTAATAGCTACTGTCCTAAATTCAGTCCTATCAGAAGGTGTCAATGTGACTAAAGAGATAAGATTTCAGAGTTAGGACGTTTCTGTAATACAGCCCCTGGAGCTGAGGGGGTTAATATTCATGAGGTCCCACGTTTAGTCACCGACCCATTGTGGCATAGCAGCCTGGCCTGGGGTGAGATGGCTGGATGGACAGCGTCCGCGCAACACAAACACACACCCACATGTACGCCCCTTTCGAGGATGAGCACCGGTATGCTGTCGCACAGCTGTCAGCTGAGTGAGATGCAGCCACGGCGACACCACAATGAGGCAGCCTCTCTTTCTCTCTCTCTATCCCTCTGTCTCTCACCGCTCGCTTTTTTGTGCTGCTTGTGGCTCTAAGATTCACTTGCTCTTATTTCTTTCTCTCTCTCTCTCTCTCTCTCTCTCTCTCGTCCACCCCCATCCCTCCCTCCCTCCCTCCTGCCCTCCCTCTCCTTCTCTCTCGCTCTCCTTCTCTGTCTCTGTCTCTGAAGGAGTAATGGAGAGGATCACCATGTAGACAGCAGCCGAGCGGAGGACGGGTAAGAATGGGAAACCACGTATGGAGCGACGCCGGACTGCAGCCGTGGTGAGCACGGGCATCCTCCTCAGGACCTCAGCCGGGCTTCCCTGGACGGCTGGCTGGACGCTCTGCTTGTTCTCGTAACGCTGAAGAGTCTCTCCTTCAGTCTCAGAAACTGGACTGGATTGTTTTTTTCTGTTTTTTTGTCCCTTTTTTAATCATTTTGTTTCTTTGATTTCCTCCATCTCCCTGTCTGTTTGCCCAAATTTTTTTGTTCCCATTCTGTATTTCTTCGGTTTGTGCTCAGATATTCTTTACCCTAGCCGCCCCTAGAGGCTCACTGGCCGCGTGGCAAGCCTCTTGTTTTCTGATACCTTCAGAGCGAACCTTTCAAGCAATACTCTGCCACCATGGGGGACATGAGGAACAGCGATTTTTATGCCAAGAACCAAAGAAACGAGGGCAACCATGCCGGAGGCTTCGGCTGCTCTCTGATGGAGCTGCGCTCTCTTATGGAGCTCCGTGGCACGGAGGCTGTGGTCAAAATTCAGGAGGACTATGGAGGCATTGAGGGACTGTGTCAGAGGCTGAAAACGTCTCAGACGGAGGGTAAGTGTTTGGGCTTCTCGTCTTATTCTTTTTACTAAACGAATCCTGTCCCCTCCATTCTCCCTCTACCCCCTCCCCTGCACACTCTAACATTCTCAAGCGTTGGGTGACTCATTCTAATGATAATTGATTTTTTTTTTACTTGGTTCTCCTTGTATTTGTGTGTAGCAAGAGGTCTTTTGTCTTTAGTGTTTTTTCCTCTTTCATAAACCTGCTGCTTGTGCTGGTTGGCTGTCTGGCACAGTTATTAAGCAGAATGTATCTCCCAGGCAACAGCACAGAGGTCAAACTAAATTTGATACTTCTTAAAACGACAGTGCTGTCAGGTGTGATTTGATTTGTGAATCCGATGGCCGCATCTGCTTTCTGCGTGGAATTCCGAAGTGTTTCTTTTAGATCAGAAAGACCTCTTGTTACTGGAAAAAGTGGAAACAGGCACTTACCTGCACCTTAGTGGAAAGTGATGCGATCTTTGTGTGTGTGTCGTCATGGCTTATCAGTTACTTGATAGGATGCCAGTAGACCATCGGGGTTCCACAGTGTGGGCCCCCTTTAGGTCTTACCGATCAGCGGTAGAGACACTAACAATGCGCTAATAGTGCCGTTATCTCACATGCTGATGAAGCACATGGCTGTCTGTGCTGTTGCAAAGTAATATGTCAGGAATTTCAACACTACAAATTATAATTACTTTGATATAGCTTTGATGTATAAACCCCCTTTCCCAGGAGAGGTTCTACTAAGCATGCCTTTGGTTCAGGCTATACATAGCTAATCATCTTTATAGACTGTGATGAAGCTGACCTGATTCTGCTCAGGACAGTGATCTCTTTATCTCCTAAAAACAGACAAGCTGTGTGTGAGCCAGCCACCTCTTGGTGAAAGGCTTTGGTGCAAGAACCCTTGAGAGGTAGTGGCATCTGACCCTGAAGACAGCCGAGCCTTTCCTTCATCTCTTTGCAAACACGACCGCCTGTGCGCTTTTGGAGGGAGGAGCAGACTGTGGCTCTGCTCTGCTAGAACGACTCAGGCTGACACCCTGAGTGTGATGTGATAATGAAGACAAATGGTCACATCTAACCTTGTTAATAAGCACTGTACTGCATTTTCCCACTCAGGGAACAGTCACCTTCATGTACCCAGCAACTGTCTTCATTTAGTGCCATATAACCAGCTGCGTTCTAGTGAGGCATCTCTAATAAAGGTATGCATGGGGCATATTACTTTCTCACCTTCAGATCTTTTCTTGACTCTAACGTGAGGCCAGGTGAAATTTTATATGTTACACATGTGCAGGTCCGACCTGTGAGATTGCAGTAACTGACTGTAGAAAAAAAAAGGCAGAAGGATTAGGTCACAGGGAAACAAGAAACCTTGTGGGCAAGTACCAATATCTTAGGCATACAAGACCACACAGAAATACCTTAAGTAGGCGCTGGTACAAGCTGGAGTTAATATGAATATTTAATGCAATTGATTTAGCTATTTGGAGAAACTTAAGGAAGGAAAGAAAGGGTTTTGATGCAGTAGAATCCATCAGGAAGGCATTTTATGTTCTCTAAAATGTCAGCCTAATCAAATATGCTTGCATTGTTTCATACTTTAATTCATTCGATTACTTTTCCAAATTACTCAAGCCATAACCAAGCAAACAAGGTTATATGGATGCATGGAGAATTTCCAGATGTGGGCTGAGTAGATTGGTCTCCAAGAAGGGCATTATCTTCTTATTACCTGTATCCTGAGTGCTGGCAGTATGTGGGTACCACTGAACGGCCATGTTGCTGGCATCCATATCCTTCCCTTTCCTGAAATCTCCAAGGTTACTGGCAGCTGGAAATTGAAAAGGATGTGTAAGAAACTGGGGACCTCCCAAGGAAAGCATTTTTCTGATAGTGGTATAGCAAGTGCAAGCATTCAGCAGAGATCTCTCATGATGTGTAACACAAACACCTTGGGTCAGGTGGTACAGGGACTATAAAAAACAAGTCTATTCTTACTTCACGTGCTGAGGTGACATCAATAACTCATACAATACCCATACAATCAGACCAAGAAAGAGACATCTCAGTCATGGCTTCACAGTAAACAATTTGCCTGAGAAAGGCCCTAGGGGACGACTATGTGAGATGGCTATTGTATGCTAATGGAACCAGTGTGCTGTGCCCTGGCACCAGCTGCGAACCAGCGAGAAGTGTCTGTTCCCTCGCCGTGGCTGTCCTCCCCCATGACTCCCTCTGTTCTCATTTCTATTTCCGTCTGATGGCCCACCTCACTCCAGTTTAGCACCCACCCTTCCCCTCAATAAGCCTACGCAAAAAAGTAACCAACACTTTTGTCTTCCAGGTCCCACCACTTTCTTTAGTATTTGCTTCATGTGCATACCAGTTTCTTTATAAGAGGCTTAAAATTACTACAGTCACTTCTTCTTATCTGAATCTAAAGTTAAAATGCAAATGAGACGGCTTGCTAAATGGCCGGGCGTAGGCGTGGGACATTTAGCTTCAGCTTCTGGCACAATTCTTACTGCTCGGAAGCAAGCAGGAAAGGTAGATAGATGTGTGTCCAGTGAAGGAGAACTAAAGTGAAAAAACATATAAACCACGTTTATTGGGAACGAGATGCTCTGTGTAATCCGATGCAACAGCAAAACCGACAGAGGGGCTGAAGGTCAAAGCGAGCTGGCAAAACACTGTGGGGGCCAAGCACCAAACATGACATGACCGCAGCGCACACATGCACAGTGTGCTCCTTGCTAGTGACCAATATCCTCTGTAGCAGCTCCCCGAGCCCCCTAGCCTACTTGGTCAGGTCGAGGCCAGGGCTCATATTGTGGTGAAAGGGCAAGGTTCTGGAGTATAAAAGAAGGATGCTGGCTACCTTTGTCTTTCCACCGTTCTCACCAGCTCTGTTTCGGGTGGCTAGTTAAGCAGTGTACCACCTCAGCATGCCTGCACCACCCTCCCCCTCAACCCCTTGATGAGCATGCTAATCTAGTCCGCCTGCCCATGTGCTCATTCCCTTCTGACACATCCTATTTAATCTCAGGCCCACTAGGAATTGCTCCGAAGGAGCACAATCTCCTCTAATAAGGACACTCTTTTTTGCTCGTCAGTATTGCTGCCCTCGTTCTGGCAGCCATTCTTAAAAGGAGAAAGCATTTCCTTTGAGAGTAGATTATAAATGATATGTTACAGTTTTTCCCCCCTTCGAGGGACAGATGCTCCCGAATGTATGACCTTGGATTGGAGCTGGAGTCAGCGATAGCAGTCTTTGACACAGAAAAGTAAGAACAGAACAGGTCATATCAGCAGCTTCATCAGACAGTATACGTAGAGGTCATGATTTCATACTTCAAACAGGGTAGATAGGTGTACTCCAGGTCCATGGTTGTGGACTGTTTTAAACCACTGCAATAAGGTCTATATTGCAGAGGGGAATGAGTTCACTCGGTTTATCTGATCATAATGTGTTTGTAAAACACCATGACTCATCTGTACTCACAATTCTAATCTCTACCTGAGTCTGGTTCCCACCCAGGTGCTCTTCTCCACACATCTTTTGTTGAGTCAGGCCATGTTCCTGGGGCCCAGATGAAAGGAGGACGGCGCTCAGAGAGGCACGTTTCACCACACTGGCAGCGGGCAGGTGCGCTGTGCCTCGTGAAGTGCGACAGCTGACTCCCCCGTTTCAGACCTGTGAAGCGTGTGCCGCCTTCCCTTGCCTAAGCCTCCTCATCCGTCATTCCAGCTCATCGCAGCCTCCCTGATGCCTGCTGAGCACCGTTAGCCGGAGACGGGGTGTTTGCTGACTAAGACGTGTTGCTTTGTTTTGTTGGCGCTGGCTCCTTTGACATCCTCCCGTCTCCCTGTTGACCTGTGTCCCTGTTATGTGAGTGTATGCACAACGTGGCTTACAGCGTTAATGCTGTATTGCCTTGTCCTTGCTTTAACATTGAGCTGACATGTCAGAGCAAATCGGTTTGCTGGCAGACACATGGGGCTGGGTCCTAGGACTCTGGCAGGTTGCAGTGTCTGAGCAACCGCATATCCGAGCTTGAGGACAAAAGCTGAATGTCTGAGAGAGCAGACAATGCTGGCAGACTTGAGGGAGATGGAGTGCTTCTTGATCTTTTTGTAGCTCAATGACAGCACAAGGTCATATGAAGTAGGAGCACTGAGAAAATTAAAAACTGCTACGCTCCGATTCATACACTGAATGAGATGCTATTGGAAATTTGTTAATACTATTAATCCCAGATTATAATGCACTTTTTAGCTGTGTACAAAACATTTTAAGGCCTTTGTGTCTTGTATAACTTAGACATATCATGTATCAAACACATTAGATGAAGGAGTACTTTTCAGCTGCAAGCTAAAAGTAGCCATTTTCTCCTGACAAGACGCAGCATGCAAATCAACAGCTTATTTCCAGTTGTAGGACTACTTCAGGGGCTATTAGTCGCGTACTTATATCCAATGTCAGCACATCTCACCACAGTCACATAATAAACCAAAGTTCAGTCAGGCTTTTGATTGTCTTCTTGTAGTTGGAATCTGATTTCTTGGGCTTAGTAGATAACTAGCTCACTGAAGAAAGCTGTGAGTTATTAGATTTTGTGGCTAACATATCATAACGTTTATCTAAGTTATATCATAAAGTCTTTTATCTATTAAAGTATTGATTTTTTTTTCAGTGGCTGTGGTGATGTGAAGGTGCCAAAATGTAACAACATTTAAAAAAGCAGATCTAATTTAAATCCAACTCATTTTTGGAGAGCCAGAACTTCTCTGCCATTGATTAACTGAAAAATGGTTTGTAACATTCTCAAGCTATACAGCCTGACAAATTTATTGAGAAAATGCATGCAAGGGAGTCACTTCTCAGCTCAGCTAAGTACAGGCGTATTTCTTCTCATATAACTGACATCAGTTTGAAACAAACAGTGTTCTCCATGTCATTTTTGCTTATAGCTGTCAACACTAGCCCCAGTGACCTCT